TCTGAATTTAAAATAATTAAGATGTGATAAATATTTAGAATACTCAGTAGGGAGATAGAGATAAAATTTATCATAATGTTTACATTCAGCTGCATTATATAAGGAGAAAGTCAAGTACATTGAAAAACAGCTTCTTATATATGAATAACCTTTTTGGCTGTTCAGCCTTTTTTCTGTTCTAATGTATGTTTCATAGAAATGATCAGTTTGCACTCAGCATGTGCAATGTCATTTTGTATACAATGAACATCTCTTTAGACCTTCATAAGAGGTAAATACACTGCATCAACATCTTTTCATTGCAACTTTACTGTGAGTGGCCAGCAGGGATTTCTGACAATGTTTGGAGTATGCATGAAAACTCTAATGTTACTTGACACAGAATAATGAGGAACTGCGTGGTTACTATTACCAACTTGATTGCAGAAATTTTCTCAGATAAATTGTTATCAACGTACATTAAAAAGAGGAAATGATGGAAGTGCACAGTGAGTTGAATGTTTGCTGCAAGACAATAGATGAAAGGAGATTTTGAGTGCTACCCTTCAGCAGACAGTGGGGATATTTTTGCGGTAGTTGCTAATCATATTGTGGACATTGTATTAGGAAATGTGTGCTCATTAATGACAAATATTATGCAACTATTTTCACTTTTTTAACCAGTGTACTTTAGTCACGGACAATTCCATTTTCATTTGATACCAGCAACTGTTCTGAAACACTATCAAGGCTTTTGATTTATGGGGATTTAATAAACCAAACTACATACTTTTTATAAGCGTGCAGTCGATATTTTCAAACTTCCACTTCATTATTTTATGGTCTGTCTGAAAACTGTAAAGTTGTCCTAAATCGAGGTAGAAACTGAATAATAAAAGTAATCGCCAGGGCAACAAGTCATAGAAGACATTAGAAGGATTGACGAGGAAGTAATAAAAACTGCCAATGCTGGAGTCTGAGATAATACAGTGTGGATCTAGAGGAAGACAACAGGCCAGGCAGCATCAGAGGAGCAGGAAAGTTGACGCTGGGTCCCGACCCGAAACGTTAGCTTTCCCGCTCCTATATAGAAAGATTGACGACTTGTACCAAGATCTCCAGGCAGGTCAAGACACCTGTGCACCATGATCATTCTCTGAACCTTTTTAACATAATTAAAGGAATTACTAAAACAACACTAGGACCAACTCCAACTCACTACATTAGTAGTCACGTTAGTTCGAACAGAATAAGGAAAGGAAGAAGCATCGTATTTAACGTTGTACATGCCAGAAAGAAAATAAACGATAAATGAGAAAACATAATCACAAATGTGATTTAGCCCACTCATTAGTTTGTCGGGGTGGGGGTGATAGTGGAAGAAATGGGAAGGACAGCGTGATTGGGTCAACTATGGATGAGCTTTCAGGAAGAATTCTTTCATGTAAAAAGTAGTGGAAATCTAGAACACTGCCTCCCCATCCCTTAAAAAAAACTGTTATTGTGGGCCACTTGAAAATTTCAAAACTGAAGTTGGTACCTTTCAATCAGCTGCAGGTATTAAGGGATACGAATAAAGATGGATAAATGAAATTGAGATACAGATCATTCATGATCTAATTGAATGGTGAAACACGCTTCAGGGGTTGAATGACATACTGTTGTTCCAATGTTCTTTCTGTGTTCCTTACTTTAGCTCAAGAAGAGATTGCATTCACATTGACTTGTAACAGGTCAAATCACATCATAGTCAATTGCCCTGATAGGAAAAAGGGTATGATGCTACCTTTGTTTTTGTACTTAACTGTTCTTCAGAACAGTCAGCTATGTCAAATCTCTCAATTCCATTTGATTTTACATTTCTATGCAGATGAGTTCTACTCACTCTACACAATCTTTCAGTTTTATAGTGACAGTTTTTAAAAGAGCCTTTTGTCATTTAAAATGTGATTCCACTCAGTGATGTTCTGCATTATCCTGAACTATTCCTATCTCAGCTTTCAGCAACATTTATGATCTCATCCAAGCAATTCTCCTGCTTATTCTACTCCTAAGTCAAGGCACATAGTAACAAGAATGCACAGACATTTCTTGCTGACTCTTGGCTTAATGTAGCCCTTGTACTTATGTTCCCACACACAGCCTGAGATGGAAAAAAAGGCACATATGCTGTGTAACCATTACTCTAATGTGTCCTTGAGTGACTTTTGCGTAGAAGCACTAATTGTTCAGCTTGTTCAAACAGCACTAAGACCAGCTCTATTTAAACACTGTCACTTCAATTCTGAGTGGAATAGAGATGGATGAATTTAAGTTATACTACTTTCCCATCTATTTGTTAGGATGAACAAATTAATGATGCAGTTGTGTGGTTTACACGATCACTAAAATCGCAATGACCCCTATCATTAATTACATCTGCTAAATTTTGTTTGCATAAAATTTCACTGAGTTTAAAATATTATTTTGTGGGAAATGAGCATAGTTTTCAAGGCCAACATGTGTCACCCATCCCTTGAACTAAGTGGCTTACCATGCTATTAAAGGAATAAACCACATTGTTCATTTAACATGCTGTTGACTTGAAAAGGCAATTTTTCTCATTTCCTGTGCCTCAGCAAACTAAAATATCTAAGCCTGATATCTATAAGAAAATTGGATGCATCAGAACACAAGCTGAAAGGAACTCAGCCCAAATTCCAATACTTGTTGCACCCAAAGAAAATTGGCTCTTTAGTTTGGCATACGAATAAAGTGAGTTTGACAGTCAGAAAATCAATTTGACTTCAATATTTTATTAACTGATATGACATATAGGGCTTGGGAGAGACCTGACTCACCTTCTCAAAGACAATGAAGGATCTGCATTGAATGCTAGCCTTGCCAGCAATGGCCACATTTCATGAATTAGTAGAACAAAAAAACAAGTTGTATTGTTGTCACCAAGTTGCTTACCTCCTATATGGAATAAATGTGAACATAACAGCTAAGGTAAAACCAAAATGTTGAACGATAGGAAACAGAGATGTTTTTCAAGCTGGAAAAAGACTTGTATTCAAGATCCCAGGATTCAGTGTTGGAACCCTTGCTCATCAGTGATCTAGGCCTTGCTGTGCAAGGCACAATTTCATAATTTGTGGATGATACAAAATTTGGAAGTATGGTGAACTGTGAGGAGGATAGTGTACAATCTGAAAAGAACGCAGACAGATTGGTGGAATGAGCAGACAAATGGTAATTGAAATTTAATATAGTTGAGTTCGAAATAATTCTTTTTGCAAGAAAGAATGCAGACAACACAAACAAAAGGTACAATTCCGAAGGGATGCAAGAGCAGAAGGGCAGATTGAGAGAGTAGTTAATACAGCATATATAAAGTATAATACAGTTATATGCATGAAACATTGGTTCGGCCTCAACTAAAGTACTGTGTATAGTTTTGGATACCATGTTTTCAGAAAGATGTGAAGGCATTAGAGAGAGAATTAAAAAAAAATCACAAGTATGAAGACCTTTAGATACAGTGGAGAATTTGGAACTGTTTTCTTTGAAGAAGAAGGGTGGCATGGTGGCTCAGTGGTCAGTACTGCTGCCTCACAGTGTCAAGGACCTGAATTGAATTCCAGCCTCTGGAAACTGTTTGCATGGAGTTTGTGTGTTCTCCCTGAGTCTGTGTGGGTTTCCTCTGGGAGGAAGGATCTAGGCCCGAAACATCAGCTTTCCTGCTCCTCTGATGCTGCTTGGCCTGCTGTGTTCATCCAGCTCTTGCATGTTAGGTGGATTGGTCATGCTAAATTTCCCATTTTCCAGGGATATTCAGGCTGGGTGGGTTAGCCAGGGTGGATATAGGGTATGGGGTTGGGTCTGGGTGGGATGCTCTTTGGAGGGTCATTGTGGACTCAATGGGCTATGTCCACACTGTAGGGATTCACTCAATGGCCTGTATCTACACTGTAGGGATTCTATGAAGAGAAGGTTGGAATTTGATAAAGGTGTTCCTAAAACATGACAGTTCTGAATAGAGTAGATTGCAAGAAAGTGTAATCATTGGTGGAAAACATGTAAGTACAGATTTAAGGTAATTGGCAAAGATAGAAATGGAGATGTGAAGAGAAGCTTTTTTATGGAGTGAGTGGTTAGGATGTGCTGGCTGAGAGTATTGTGTTGGTAGGTTTGATCAAGGCATTCCAGAATGAATTGGATTGTGAACTGAAATGGAGGAATATGCACGACTATGTGGTAGATGTAAGGAGCAGTAGTAGATAAATTATCCCGACAAACATCTGGCACAGGTAGAATGAGCTAAATGGCCTCCTTCTGTACTACAATTCTATGGTTCTGGGACACATTAAACGATGCACCTTCCAACGGGAAAGGAAGAAAAATCTTGTAGTGCTTCCATACCCTCAGGTCATTGTGAAGCAGTTCTCACCCAATGGAGTACTTTAGAAAGATAGCCACCATTGAAATATGTAAAAGAAACCAGCAAAGTTGTGTACAGCAAGGTTTCATAATTTAATCATAATGGTCGAGTGACAACAATGGCCAGGACACTAGGAAAATTCTTTTTCTTCAAACAGTAGCTTTGAAGTCTTTTTTTCCCTAAAAATAACTCACTTGAGAAGATTGACAGATATACTAACTCAAATTTTTGATAGGTGATTATTACTATAAATGTCATCATCTAATTAGTTTAATGAACATAATCAATCAATCAGAATCACGTGAAACCAATATGACAGGATGTTGAGTTCAATCAGAGTTTAAGATGAAATATAACAGTTATGTTCAGTCCCTAGGTGAAGTTCCCCAATTTATATGATTCCATATAGAATACCCCAAACTATCAAGTTTCTAAGTGTTGGGTCATGGAGAGTGAATAGGCTTTGCTTCTTTAGTCAGGCAACTCCTCAGTTGATTGCAACAAGGTTAGTGTAAAAATGATTCTTTCCCTTGTAAATAGTTACCTTCTAGACCCAAATGATTTTATGTTTTAAAGGCTGCCAATTTAACCAGGCATCTTTGAGTTAGCAAGAGAGTGAATTTATTAGTCACTGATGGGATTTTGAGGCCATTACATTTGGTGATACTGGTAGCTTTGATATTGATACGTAAGGAGTTAGTTTCAAAATATTCGGCTTTGCAGGCCTGTTGACTTTGGTCCTTTTTGGCTTCAGCAAAAATAAAGACTACCTTTTTCTTCACCTTCAGTACAGGGATGACTAGGGATTTTCTCAGCTGTGATCAACAGACAACATCTTTTAATGACTGTTCTTATGTATTCTTGAAAGTGACAAACACACACATATCTCTTGCCCAGAATGTTCTTTGCTCCCATCATGTTCTCAGTCTGAGATAACTCACAAGAGATTACAGATCCATTTGCAATGCATTTCTCCCTTTTGAAGTTATTTTTGTTGAAACTTCCTTAACACTTATCAGGTGTAACAGCGCAGGGTGTCCATGAAACTGAGGATAATTTATGCAGGCCTTCCAAACAGTCGCTGAAATACATTGCTCAGAATTTCCACTCATCTTTTTTTGGCTGCATGTCTTTCTTCTGAAAATAAAACAGATTGCAATTAAAAGTTCAATATGTGCATAGATCCAAGTCTATAATCCACAGTTGTGGCAATAATATGCTAGTTGTACAACAAAAGCATGAAACTCTGACAAGTATTGAGTATCTGTCCAAATCAGGCAAGACAACTGGCATGGCTTTTCTTTCTTCTTCTTCTTGGTGCCCTAAGTCTGCTTTATTCTTTGAACCACTCAACAGTATTGGATTGGAGTCTCCCTTGAGATTGCTTTTCAACTGTATGTTGCACTGATCTCTGCCAAAATCGCTTTCTTAACCCGTTTTTTTTAGGACTTGGATTGATTCTTGATAAGGCCTTTTCACACAGTTTAATGAATTTCAACCACTCTTATCAAATGTTGAGTTTCTAGTTTAAATCTTGGATTAAAAGTCTGGCCTTGAATGCCATTCACCTGTCATTAGCTTAGTGAACCTTCACAGGTACCTTCTGACCTTAACTAATCATTCTTACCTTTTCCTTAACATTTCGCATGCTGTTCTCTCGGGCCAATTTCACTATCACAGTAACTTCACTCTCTGACACCTATTATCTGTTATTTATTCCTAAGACTGTAAGATCTGTTAACAAGATTTTCATATTGTACATTCTGTTCAGCTGTTCTTATTACTCATCACACTGTTGAAACACAGTGTTGTTCACAACAGTAACGTCTGTTCCACTTCCAGACATTGATGAATTCACATACTTCAGCAAACCTTTTCATTAAGTAATGTTAAAACGGAAGCTTAGCACAACTTTGTACTGTGATGGTTTGGTTTAAGTACCTAGCAGTAATTCTTTCACTAGATCTTATTGGTCTGTGGGCCCTTTTTCAGGCAAGTTGCTTCTGTCATCATTTAAGAATTATCATTCCACAAGCTTTGTTTCTCTGACAATGAAACTTTCAACAATGCTCATTCAAACTAAATTCTCAGCACTAAACTATTCCTCACCTATTTCATATAAATATATGAATATTTCATGTATGTGGTGGGCATAGAGCTAATTCTTGACACAGGGGATTTAGCTAAATATCTCATTTGAAGTATAGTATCTCCACAAATATATTACTCCTATTCAATACTGGAGTGTCAATATAGATTATATGTTCAACTTTCAGAGGTGGCGATTAGCCAGGATCATCCTGTTATCGGGGAAGCTATGGTTTACTTCACTGCTCACATTAGAAAGTGTATTACAACCGTCTCCATTGGCGACAGTGGAAACATGCTCTCCCAGTTGCAGCCTGGATGAAAAGATGAGGAAAGGGCTACAATTGTAGAGCACAGAAGCCGACCCTTCGGTCCAACCAGTCCATGTTGACCATAATCCCAAACTAAACTAGTCCCACCTGCCTGTGCTTGGCCCATATCCCTCCAAACATTTCTTATTCAGGTACTTACCTAAATATCTTTTAAACATTGTAACTGTAGCTGCATCCAGGTTCATTCCACACATGAACCACTCTGTATAAAAACATTGCCCCTCATGTCTTTTTAAAATCTTTCTCCTGTCACCTCAAAAGATGCCCCCTAGTCTTGAATTCCCCTACCATAGGGAAAAGAAACCTGCCTTTCATCTTATCTGTACCCCTCATTATTTTATAAACTTCTATAAGGTCACCTCTCAACCTCCTGCACACTAGCAAGAAATGTCCTAGCCTATCTAGCTTCTCCTTATAACTCAAACCCTCCATTCACTGCAATATCCTCATAAATCTCTTTTAAACCCTCTTCAGTTTAATATTATCCTTCCTATAACAGCAAGACCAGAACTGGCCTCACCAACATCCTGTACAACCTCAATATAATGTCCCAACTCCTATACTCAAAAGGCTGAGCAATGAAAACAGGCATGCTAAACAGCTTAACCACCCTTTTCATAATGCAAACTCCAAAGAATTAAATTATGTACCTAAACTCCTAGGTCTCTCTGTTTTATAACACTGCCCAAAGCCCCACAGTTAATTGTAGAAGTCGTGCCTTTGTTTGTTTTACCAAAATGTACTTACTTGCATTTATCCAAATTAAACTACATTTGCCACTCTTCATCCCATTGACCCAATTGATCAAGATCTCTTTGTAATCTTAGACAACCTGAGGACCAGTGATGAAGTACAATTCCTGAGAATCCATATCCTCTTTGACGTCATGGACTGAAGACATAGTCTTCTTGAGCTCTGCATTCAGTTCAATGACATGTAAGTATTTCAGAGGGCTTGCAGTTGTTTCTAATTGCTTTTAAAGGGTTTAACAGTAATTACAAGTACCTTGAATTGCTTTCAATGTTCTCTTTTTCAACTTTCAAGTGTGGCTCACTTGCATACAGGCTTTGGGGTACCAGAAATGTCGAGTGCTTTAATATTCCTGCTGAAAACCTGGAATAAGTTATAAGACCTGCTAGAACCCAATCTAAGTAAATCAGTTTAAGTTGCAAATATAAGTATCAGATTCTGAATCCTTCGATTTTAGGACTGAGTATGTTGACATACAAGGGAAAAACCTACCGTGTAAAAATTTACTCCTTTCTCTGTTAGAATCGTACCGTTACCACAATTTCCTCTTCACTTTTGATTGAAAAAAAAATCAAATTGAAATATGACAGTTTCAGCTGGAGCAAGATGTTTTAGCCACCAGAGCATGACAAACATTGCCTGCTGACACAATACCTTAAATAACTGAATGAACTGTGCTATCTTTACACAATAAATTACTCACCAATAAATCACTCCCAGCCTCATGTCATGTTTCAGGAATGATATTACTTCTTTCCTTACTCAGATAACACAGCACTTACGCAAATTGAAAAACATTAGACAAATAACCCATTCCCCATCACTAACATTATTTGTGTTCCTTCCAAGAATTAGTTTCCCAGATGACCAGATTTCTGGCACAGATTTGTGGGAATGGCCATATCTGTCAGTTATGCATTATGAGAATTGTTTGATTCATTGCCTTTTATCAGAGGAGTTTTCAGATGAGGAGTAATTCTTAAAAATGTAATAATTTATTTTTCATGCCTATATGTATTAAATGGCACTACTTTCATGAAAAATGAATTCAACATGGCATCCATTTTATTTATAAATGCACAGCATCATCACATCAAAACAATTTTGATTCATCGTGTTATTACGATACAATGGTACTTGCTTGGTTCTCCTCTCTTTCACAGGAGCAAAAGGGATTGCTGCACACAGCTCATGCACTGTACAGCCTAAAGACTGCTCTCGAAAGAAAGCTACAATCATGAAAAAAAATCGAATCAGAGATAGTAGGAACTGCAGATGCTGGAGAATCCGAGACAACAAGGTGCAGGGCTGGATGAACACAGCAGGCCAAGCAGCATCATA